ATATTTAACTTTATAAGGCCACAAATATACAAAATAGTCTGCCTTATATGATTATTTAAAAATAAAAACAGTAAAATTACTAATAACTCTTGGTTTCTCGCCTGGTAACTCCTCTAAAATAATATGGCAAACAGAATTGCAGAATTGTGTTATGCCTCTTTAATAGTTAACTAGTTTGCTCTTATTAATTTTCTACGATAGTATTCCGTTTTGAATCAAAACCTATCTGAGTGGTCCGTCACAATTTTTTTCAGGTTTCTCTCATTCATAAGGTCTCTACACAAAATAGTCCTTTTGTCATATCTTATAAAATTTAAGTGTATATTTTCTTCATTTTTTCATTAAATTTCTGTATATAACCCTCTCTGTTTTTAACTAAATAGAAACGCTAGCAGCCTAATATGTCCATTTTTACTTTATATTACAAACTGATTTCTAATCTTTTCCCTTTTTTTGTTTTGACTTTCTAGTAGCTTCAACAACCAACTTATTTTTTCTGATGTTTGAGTTAGTTTCTTGGAAAAAATATTTAAATATCAAATAGAAGATGTTTCATTCTTTGGTGAATTATATTTCTCCTTCATTATCTATTATATATTCAACTTAGTTAAAATCCAAACCTTAAAATATGACGTTGACGTAAATTTATTTGGCTTTTCTTAGATTCCTCCGATATATCCAAAAAGGTTTTTAAGTTAAGGTTAAATAACATAAGTAAACAGCTTCTAGCTGGCCATAAATGTATCCTATAAAGTTTTACGAAACTTAATTGCAAAATGCTCCTGAGCATATAGTAAATTTTTATTCAAAGAAGCGATACTACATAATCTTTCTCTAATTTTTGGGATCCTGACAATATTAACCATTAAATAGTCTTAAAGTTAAATCTATATCTCAATATAAACACGGCTCCTGAACACTTGCTTATTCATTATTCGAACGTTTTTACATCTCTTGTCTCATAAGTCACAAGTGCTTTACTTTCTATAGACTATATCCTTTTCGTGTTTGATCTATTCATAATTCTAGTTATATGATCCATAATTGGTGTTATCAGATATAAACTTTTCAGTTCAATCTAAAGTTCTTACGTGTAGTAAACTTCTTGTTTCTAGTCGATAATTTCAGTATTTTCTGTTTATTTCACTTGCTTTTTTGTATTAAGCAAGTGCAGCTGTTTGTTTGCAACAATGAGTGAGTGGTTTAGCATAGTAATATAGATTATCAAAATACGAGTATAAATATATAACTGCTAAAGTTGGCAACGACATCTGGGCCTCAGCTTTCCTATTCACTTTTGTATAAAGAGAAAGGCATAACAGGCCTTTGGAACCTCGGCTACTTCGTGTCCTGTTTAAGTTTAATAAAATGTCGATTGGGATTTTGATGTGTACTTTCCGTCTATAATCAATTTAGTGAGGCACCTACTCTGGAGTTACATTGTCTGATTTAGTGATTTTTGTCTTCGTCAAAATCCAGGTTTGATTCTTTAGTTTATATTTGGATGTTTACCAGCAATTAATACATTTTTTCTTACCTCTTCCCTACCTCATGCCACACATTAAAATATGGCTTCGATATAGGTAGGTTTAGAGATCATCAATACTTCTTGAATATGAACTTAGTCATCCTAGGTTGCTTAAGGTGATTTGAGGAGTGATTTTTTAATTTTTCCACAGTGATTGAGGTAGGCCGAAGAGTTCCATAGCAAATTGCAGCATATGACTATTTTTAAAGCAATTTTCTAAAACAAATTTGGTATAAAGTTTTAGCAAAAGTGATTCTAAAATATTTTATTATCACATTACGGAGTACAATAAATTAAAATTCGGGCTTTCTGATCATACTTTCTGACATGACCTTTTACATGACCTACTAGACAATATGCTATATGGTATATGAATCTCTTCTTTCCTGGTTCAGAAGAAGGCTACCTTTAGAATAATAAATAGAGGCCAGGTTTTTGAATTTATCGAGTTAGTATTATTTCGAGATTTCTAATACATTTATGAACTTTCCATTATTATGCTACCTAGATCGTTGCATTTTTTTTTAATACTTGAAGATCGTAT